TAAAAATGAATATGCTTTTGTTTATTGGAGTCTAGTCTGCTGCATATAAGCTAAGAATGCATGGTTAGATTTTAGTTGTAATAACTTAACTAAAATAATTTAAGTGTGGTTATTGGAGAAAGCAGGTTCTAAAGTTGAATTTAAAACCAGGTTATCAAGTAAAGGATAAACAATATCTAAAGACGCTCTCCTTTCAGTGGCACTGAGAAAAGAAAAGGGCAATAATTCTCAAGAAGAACAAAAACAGTAGAGATTTAATTCTTCATGTTATACTATTACATAAAAAAACAAATAGAAATACATGATGTTTTGATTTTACTAAAGGTGTTAAATACTTTTGCAAAACACTGTGAATAAAGCGCTTCTTTCTGCAGAGTTTGTAGCATCAGACCTCCAAATCAGAGTAATGTCTGCCGGCTGCAGATCACTTGTAGCTACAGTATGCTTCTTATATAAGAGGAATCACTATGGAGACATTTTTGATGGCAGAGCCTCTTGTTACCACAGCATCAGTGTTAAAATCCTAACGCCTAAGTATTGCTTCAGATAGAAAATATAGTTCTTGGTGGTTTAGTGTGTATTTCCCTGCTGGGGAAGCTTAAATCGAAGCTTGGAAGCAGATGTTCTAATAGGCAGGTTGGGTGTGAAATGGGCGGCAGGAAGCTTTACTGGAAACGTGGAGCAGCTTAGTGCGCCTCGGTGCATTGTTTGAAGCAGCCTGAGCTGCATGGCGACAGAGACTCTGAGTGCCAGGTTCCCATTCACACTGATCACACATTAGACTGATCAAATCAGACTCCAGGCCTGCTTCCTGACTAACTCGATTTGCTCTTCTACGCTTCCCTTTTCACGCTGCGCACACACACACACGCAGGCGCGGACATGGAAGCACCTTTTTCTTGTACGTGCACACACGCCCAGCCGGCAGTGAGTGGGGCAGCACTCATTGAGCTTTAATGAAAAGCAGAAAAAGCGGTTACCTTGGCAACTGCCTGCATACATCTTCAGGAGGACCCAGATTTCCTGTCTCGCAGCGATCGTATTGTTTTGGTTGTCTTTTGATAGCTGCGGCATCCCTATGTGGATTGTCTCACCGCTGGGTGAATTTATGAAGACTCGTCTTTAATTAAGCAGAAATGATTAAAAACAAAAAAAACAGGAAGCCCTCCTTTGGCTAAAATCCTTTTTTTTTTTTTTTTTGCAACCATAGTGGAACAAACCTAAAAACACATTTGTGGATTTTCTGCAGGCCTTGAGCCGGTTTCCCCTTCATGCATTCAGCTGTTGGGCTCTTCTACAACAAGAACACAGCTGCCAGACGCAGAGGATCATGGGAACTAATCTGGCTGCATGATTCATCCCAAAAATAAAAACAAACAAAACAAAACCCTCCAATAAAGTAAGAGGTGTAAATGCTATAGCCTGAACGGACAGAATTTTGTCCACCGAGGCAATAAAAGCGCACAGTGTTGACCTTCTTTTTTTGCTTTGAAGCCCTGAGACATTCATCCATAAAAGCACACATGCAGTGTAAACATGACGTCCTGCATGTCGGCAATATATTTGATTACACAAAGCACACTGCTCCTCCATTATCGTTCTCATCGCCATCGCCATAATCAGATTACTCTAATTATTATAATTGTCTGCGTAGGGTTTGTTATCTTTGTTTGCCGGCGTAAACAGGAAGCAGATTTGAACCCCCCCACATGGGAGCCGGGTGGAAGGGATGAAGATTTACCTCGGTGGGATTTTTAACCAAACATCCAAGCTATGATTAGGATGCCTGGAAACCACGGCGACGGAGAAATGTCCCGCGTTCAGACCTCTGACGCGCCTCTGTGCTTCTATGAGCTGATGATTAGCAGCCTGATTAGCTCCCTGCCGATCATCGCCTCGGTGTTGGGATTTTATTTTAGCAGATCTTTATTCTGAGGTGGAAATAATCTGGGTATTCAGAAGCCTTCCCAAAGCATGATGCTGCCACCACCATGTCTCACAGTATGGAATGATAACTGTTGGGTTTCTTCCTCATGCAATCCGCCTTATTCCATCTATCTGATATGTCCTCACAGAACCGTGTTTGATGAGTAGCTTTCCTCCACCTCAGAGTCACTACAACATAATAGATATCAGTAATTCCTGTCCCATCTCTAAATGCTCCTCTGTCCAACCATTGTGAGTCTCTCTGTTCTTTAGCTTAGTTTAGTTTTGTCTTCAATTTAATGTTTCTTTTAGCAATAACTCAGTGCAATATATATGTGTATATATACTTCTTTACCCTGTATATAGCTAGCTCTTAGCCCGTAGTTATAGAAAACATATTTATTGTGCAGGAATAAGGTCTTAGCTCTGTTACACTGGTAGCCAAGTAATCCACATTTCGTTGTCAAGATTCACTCTTTGTTTTTTTGTGCAATGACAATAAAGGAAGTCTAAGTCTTTCTTCCAGTTACAGTATACACGTTTTCCCCTTTTTTGTGTCCTTTCTTCTTCTTCTTTCTTCTTCTGCCAACCTCCTTTCCTTCACTGTGTTCTTCCTTCCTTTCCTAGCTTCTAGAGACGCATTGTAAAACCTCTGCAGTGTAGAAATCCTCCAATGTGCCATAAGTTTATAGTTACTTGTTGTTGTTGTTATATGTTTTTCCTTCCACGCTTCTTTGCATCCTTTTTTCCTTAAATGTTTCCTTTGTTCCTTACCTCCTTTCCTCCATCCTTTTCATGTATCCTTGCTCCCTTTCTTGTGTCCTTCCTTCTTTCATCTTTTCTTCCTTGTAACTTTTCCTTATTTCTCTCCTCTGTCCTTCTTTTCTTCTTTGAGCTCATCTTTCCTTATTTCCTTTCCTCTTTGTCTCCTACCTCCTTCATTGTTGCCTTCCTTCTGTCCTTCTGATGTGTCTGACTTTTTCCTTCCACGCTTCTTTGCATCCTTCTTTCTTTAAATGTTTCCCGTTGTACCTTACCTCCTTTCCTCAATCCTTTTCATGTATCTTTGCTCCCTTCCTTTCTTGTGTCCTTCCTTCTTTCATCTATTCTTCCTTGTAACTTTTCCTTATTTCTCTCCTCTGTCTTTCTTTTCTTCTTTGAGCTCTTCTTTCCTTATTTCCTTTCCTCTTTGTCTCCTACCTCCTTGCTTGTTGCCTTCCTTCTGATGTGTCTGACTTCTTCCTTCCACGCTTCTTTGCATCATTCTTTCCTTAAATGTTTCCTTTGTTCTTTACCTCCTTTCCTCCATCCTTTGCATGTATCCTTGCTCCCTTCCTTTCTTGTGTCCTTCCTTCTTTAATCTTTTCTTCCTTGTAACTTTTCCTTATTTCTCTCCTCTGTCTTTCTTTTCTTATTTGAGCTCATCTTTCCTTATTTCCTTTCCTCTTTGTCTCCTACCTCCTTCCTTGTTGCCTTCCTTCTGTCTTTCTGATGTGTCTGACTTTTTCCTTCCACGCTTCTTTGCATCCTTCTTTCCTTAAATGTTTCCTTTGTTTCTTACCTCCTTTCCTCCATCCTTTTCATGTATCCTTGCTCTCTTCCTTTCTTGTGTCCTTCCTTTCTGTATTTATGCCAACCTCCTGTCATTCACTGTGTTTTTCCTTCCTTTCCTAGCTTCTAGAGGCCCATTGTAAAACCTCTGCAGTATAGAAATCCTCCAATGTGCCATAAGTTTATAGTAACTTGTTGTTGTTTTATATTTTCTCACATAAGTCTAGAAAAGTATGCACACCCTGCCCTTTTTTCTGATCATAACAACAAAGACAAAAACTTCTGAAGGTTTGACTTTTACTACAAATGGAAGCAGCAATGTTGCCTTAATGATCATTTTTTTAATAAACACTTGTTTATAGTTTAAAGTTTTTAATCCAGATCAGTGAACTTTTGTCAAAGCTTTGATAACTTGGATTGCTCTGAGCTTTTTGCTTTCGTCCTGCAAACCTAACTTTCAGTGAAGAGGTAATATTTGAATGTTTTTAGACGTGGAATGGACATCTAGAAAAATAAAATATTTGTGCATCCTATGATTAAATCGCTTTTATTGAAAACAAATAATGAAAAAAATGAGTTAATGCAGCTCTTAGCTGCAACACGTGTCATCTCTGTGAAGGTTTGTCACTTTCCTGAGGTTTTTGTCTCTTTTTATGGTTATTTGGAGTCCTAAAGCCTTTGCAGACGGCACTGATTCCCCTTATCCTCTGCTCTTACGTCCTCAGACCTTAACTTCTGCAGGTCTGGGCAGGATTTGCCTACTTCATGTGGTCAGGCTGGTTCTGTTTTGCTTCTCTTTTTAATAAATCGGTGCAATCGAAAAAAAAAAAAAAAGTAAATAAAATTGAATGTGTGATTTGAATCCAGGTTTGTTCATCTTAACTAAATCTGAAACATTTAGATCCAACAAAGCCGATAGAAAGTTTCAAAGCGGTGAATAATATTTTACAAATAATTTCATTATTTTGTAATAAAATCATTTCCCTGTGACGTAATCCTCTCATGTTGAGGACTGGCGGTGGCTGTCACTGCTGAATAATTAGAAAGATAAAGCTCAGCCTGAGGCTTCGGCTCCAACATGTCACCATCTGTCTGCTTATCAGATACGTTTCCGTTTCTCCAACTGATGTGACTTCCTGCCTCAAAGTAAACAGAGGAAAATGTCCTCCTGGAGGTTTGGTGCCGTTTGGTATCTAATGGCGCTGACTGTGTCCAGGCACACACACCACATCAAGCTATGCAGCTGCTTAGCCGGCCTATTATCTCCTCAGCTCTCACTGCATTAAATGCTGGGTTTTCCTTTTTTGCTTGTCAAAACATTCCTATTAGACAGTAAGTGGTTTAAATAAGCAGGTAATTAGTGCTTATTATGAAAAACAAAAGTAATTCTGCTGCTGTTTGAATATGATATTAACACAGACAGGCCTAAGACCCAGCAGAGGGAAAGAACTTCCACTAGTCCTCAAGAGGATCATGAACTTGCATCTATTTATGTCATTTTCCTTCCTCCTCCTCCTCCTTAGATGGCCTATAAGCCCTGGCTCTGCGCTCAGTACTTCCCCAACATCAAGCTGTCTTGTCAGAGGAAGATACCGTGCCACCGGTACTGCCTGGAGGTCCAGCAGAGTTGCCCGTTCATCCTGCCAGACAACGACGACCTGATCCACGGCGGGAACCCCAGCTTCATCTGCACAGGTTAGAAGCAGCTGATGGAGCCGGTCTGCATGTCTGATCCCTGACATTGTGTTCTTGGATTTCTTTTTTTTTTTAGTAAGGAGCATTTTATGATTAAATGCAGAGAACTAAACTCCATCCACCTGCTTAGATGACATCCCTCCTGGAGGGGAAGTAGTGTTTCTGAAGGTTTTCTGATGACATCTAGTGGTCAGTTTCAGGACTGCAGCAAAGATCCAAGGCTTATTTAAAAATGTATTGATACATTTAGGTGTTTACTGCTTTTTAGTCATTTGTAACTAAACATCAGAGCAGCAAATATTGGCTACTTATCTAACATGACCATTTTCCTAAAAGCAGAAAGTGACATATTATTTTATTTGTACTGGCGTTTAGTGGTAACCTGACGCCGCCAGATGACTTCCGTTGAAGTAATTTTGGGAAGGGGCGAAAATACTGGTTAGCTGATTGGCCTATGTTGGTGATAAACGGGACAAATAAACCAATCAGATCAACGAAGCATATGACGTACTAACAGAGCAACGACGAAGAGGAGCCAATTGATAGATCAAACTCTTGCCCAAACCAGTCGGGAGAAGAGCAAAAACATCTTTTCCTCTGAGAAAAGCCTCCAGAGCAGTGTTTTGCTCTTCTTTCAGTGAAGAAATACTCTGTAATTCCGATAAAACTTGCTCGATAGCCACGCTAACGCTAGTTTCATCGGCTGAAGCCGCCATGTTCTTTAGACTGAACTGTCGCGCTTCTCGTTGCGTCACACCTCAACCCGCCTCAAAGCCAACGCTGATTGGACGTTCGTTTGGTGAACGGCTCCAAATTTTCTTCAACGGAGAGTCTCCAGACGGATCTGTGAGTGAAACCTTGAAAGCTCGCGAGATCAGGATGGTCTCACGAGGCTAGTTTAGTGGCGCTTCAGCAGCTGAAATGGAAATAAATTTCATTAGCTGCAAAGTATGGTGGTAGCAGCATCATGCTGAGGGTCCGATTTACTACTTATGATTTCAACTTTTTGTTAATTTCTTTAACTTTATCTCAAAACAACCATCAGAGCTGCTCTTTGGAAGCAATGTCTTCCTTCCTGTGCTTTAAATCTACTTCTTCTGCTTAGAAGAAGAAGAAGAAGAAGAAGAAGCTTGCGGCCTAATATTAGTTGGGTATATTTTATATATTCTAACCTTTAAATCATGCAGATTAACTGTGGGTAAGTTTCGGTTTGCAGATAAATGTTGAGATGATGTCTGTGACGGGTAAAAACCTTCCAGTATGTTTCCAAAAGCTTTTTATTAGCAAGCAGATAACATTTACAGAGCTGACTCACAGTTTTCCCCAAACTTCTGTGATTCTCTCTGGCATAGGAAATAACTTCTGAGCCAAATCCTGAGCCAAGCTTGGAGTCTTGCAGTTTTATTGGCTTCTGATTCCACAAGTGAAAAATATATGATTTATCCTTTGAAAGCTTCGTCCTCCTTCCTGTTATTTTGTTTCATGTCTAGTTACTTCTCTCAGAATCATGTGCAGGATCTCGCATGAAGAGCGAGCTGTTATATTTAACACCTTGGTCCAGATCAGAAGCAAGCGGGGAGATTTTCCGTCCGCTTTCCTGCAGTAAAGCTCGTTAGCGGGGTTGTTGATTGCGTCTGCTGCGTGTAGAGCGTTAAAACAGCTGTCATCTGTCAGCGTTTTCATCTGGTGTAATGTCTTTCCCAGGGCTCCTGGGAGATCATCCATCAGACAGCGAGGCGGAGTGCTGCGACGTTCGATGGGACTCTAAAATGGACAGCCCTTCAGGCAGCACACTTAAAAGGACTGCTTCTTCCTGCCAGCCCGAGGGGGCTTCGGTCACTTCGGCGGCCAGCTCGAGACTGTGCAGCGGGCGACTGAAGATATGCCTGCTGGCCCTCGTCCTTCTACAAACTGTCATCATTATTTCAGCCTCACATAACTCTACGTTGCTGGAAGTGGCCGCCATTTTCTCGCTAGAGGAGGGCTCGTCGAACGAGGAGTGAACCTCCGTTGTGCCGGGAGGGGGGGGGGATTGGCTTTTAGGGCGCCATGGCCGCCGGGGACACATCTGGTCCAGACATGCCGGAGATGTCACTGCGATCTGCTGCCAACAAAGCGTCAATCACACAACATGGGAGGGCTTGAACTGGAGAACAGGGGTCTGGGAGCGGACGTCGAACCCCGACCGCGATGCTCCAGGACCACCACCCCCCCCACAAAGAACTGACCTCTTGCCACTAGAAACCTGCTCATTGTTTCTATCTCATCCAAATGTTTTTTAGCATATCGTCCCTGTATCCCTCCCCCCCCTACCTTCCCTCTCCTCTGGTCTCAGTGTCTGGATGGGTGAACGGACATTGACGAAGTCTGCTTTCCTTTAGATCTTTTCTGCACTTTTCTCCCCCCTTCAGGTGGCTGAATATTTTTGCCATATCTGCCATGTTCCTCTCTCAGTCCATCTCCTTCGGTGCGTGTTCTTAATCGAGGGCCTTTTAGTATCTGCTCATCCTTTAGCTGTGGGCGTTTGATTTTATTTTCTCCCAGATTCTTTCTGACCCCTTGCGAAGGCGCATGCCTCAGCATTTTAGGACCGTAAGTGCTCTGACTCGCTTCCTCCTCTTGACTTGTTCTGCAGCTGTTTGAAATAAAGCAGGAAGCTTAGTGATGTTGCAGGAAGTAGAACCAGGCTTAACAAGACGCTTCATGCGCCAAAGTCTTTGGTTCCCAGAAAGAGTTGCAAAAAGGAGCCTCACTTATCAACCAGGAATCTGTCTCCACAAATAGGCTTTTCCCCACCAATTTGGCTCCACCGCTCCACCAGTGGTGTTGCTAAAACCAGTTGTTCCAGTTTGTTTTCCTGCAAACAAAAGAAAAAACCTCTGCTATATATCCAAGTACCTCCAGGAACAGATGCATTGTTATCCCCAGCTCCAATTTTTAAGGGAAAAAACTTACTGACAATGTTTGACAATAATTAAGGTAGACAGGGGCTGAACCAATGAAATATAAACTAGGACTTATTGTAACCCAGCAAAGGCCTATTTCAACTTAAACAGCAGGAGGCAGAGGTGTAAACCTTTGCTTTTATCTTTCAAGCGTAATGAAATTCACAATAAGCCTTCAGCTGCTCTCCTCTGCCCCTAAACGACTCTAGTTCCTGCTAGAAAAGATTAATAAGTGCTCAACTTTAGGGAAATTTAACTTTTTTTGCTTCATCAGATAAGAGGCTACTGCTACACAGAGGAATAAGTTCAATAAATGATCAATAAATGATGAACAGGAAGCAGTGAGACAGAAAATGAAAGCTGCCTAAAACCACCCCCATAATAAAGTTTGTCCAGTTATTTTTTTTTTCTTAAGTCAATCAACTGCAAAGGTCTTAATATAAACTAAACCCAAACTCATTGGGTTTGATTTTTAAATTCTTTTAAACTCGCCTCCAACTGCTTTCTAATTCAATTATAGTAGCCCAAAGCAATTTCTTAGATATAAGCTGAAATTTCTGTCTGGATATAGATTATCTGTATATTTTGTGACTTGAGCAAACTTTAACATATCCAAACATAAATGTGAACTTTTTATTTTTTTAATTTGGGAAGAATTAAAGGCAATAGCTATAAGTTTAACTCCTCCAGGCCAGTAAGGGGCGTACTTGTGCCTTTGCGCTCTGGTTCCGTACTGTTTGCCTACCGTTTGCAGGTCCACTAATGCTAACACCAACGGCAACCAAATATTTAACGTAGCTACCTTGTAGAAAAGCGGCTTCTGATTCAATTTGCTCCCTTAAGTTGCTTCTTTTTTATAAATTTTTACATGAATCTACGAAATTTAAAGGTACAGTGCAGTATTTTCTTTTTCCGGGTGGATCATCTAAATAAGTGGTCCTCCTAATTGTCAATCATTCTGGTGATGTGTTTACGTAATGTCGCACTACGTGCTCGTCCCCATTTTCAGTTGCAATTGCAAATCTTCTTTTGGAAAGTAAGCTTGCATGAGCGATGCAAACAGCAACTTTTAAACAAGAGCGTGCACGACGGTAAAAATGGGCTTGTGCACACTCTTGCACGCGTTTAATAGACGTTCCCTTTTGAGAGCGGCTACAGGGTTGTGCATGTGCATTTTTATATTTTTTTTTAATGCACATGCACCCCACATGCATGCGGGTCTTTTAAAAAAATTGCAAAAATCCTCCACTATACTTTTAACTGAATTTGAAGGATTGACGGTTCAAGCCCCGACTCCGATTTTCATTGTTGTTGTGTCCTTGGGCAAGACACTTCACCTGCATTGTCTACTGATGGTGGTCAGAGGGCCCGGTGGCGCCAGTGTACGGCAGCCCCGCTTCTGTCAGTGAGCCCCAGGGCAGCTGTGACTACAATGTAGCTTGCCACCCTCAGTGTGTGAGTCTGTACGTGAATGAATGTAGTGTAAAGTTCTTTGGTCAAGTCTCCTGACTTGAATAAAGGCGCTATATAAGTACAGAAACTGAACCACCTTGCCTGGACTTTCTCTTACTTAGAACAGCTTTCTGTTTGGGACCAATTCAGTGTTCAAATTGAAGACGAAAAAAGTAGAAATGATGGACAGATTTGGAGCAAAAGTTACGAAGGTACTGTACCTAACTTCTCTTTTGGCCAGAAGCTGCCCAATAGCAGCAGACGACGCAGCAAACTCTGTCATTTTGCCATTTATGAAATTATTTATGCGCCGCCCAATCAAGGAGCTACTTGGATCTTTCTCACGTGACACCTAACTATTTCTATTAGTGCAAAAAAAATTCACCTCCATTTTAGATTGTGACTAAGTAAATATTTATACCTTTAAAATACCCTTAAAATTCATGAAACAAATATTTGTATACTATTTTTTAGTACAATTAAAACCTTTAATAGGCATCACTAGATATTCTGCGGATGTATAATTTTTCATTAGAAAATTTGCAGCTATGACCTTTAGATATGAAATGTATTTACCAAATGATATCAGCAAGACCTGCTAATTCCATAAATTCATGTTTTTTTTTTACACGTTAGAGGCTTGGCCTTTATACCCCTGAGCTAAGCAATTTAAAATGCACATACTATTGTCAAACATTGTCAGAAACAAAATGCATATGCTTTACTTTAAAATATGCTTAAATATACATATTTTCCTCAAATATAAAAAGAGACAATCTTAGCTGTTTAAATTTTGCTATCTGTTCAATGAAAGTTTTAGCTCTTAGAACATCCATGAAAAACACAAGCAGTTTTAAGGTGCATTCAGACTGAGCGGTGATTTCCGTGAGCGCTGCGTCTGGTCCAGGGTGAGAGGTGACTGCAAGTTTAAATGATCATTTCTTTTAAATAAAATAACGAGTCTGCTAGTTTTGTTTCATTGAAGATTATATTTAGGTCACCCAGAGGTCAATTATCCTCTATTAGGCTCTGAATTGAATCAAAATGATCTACATTTTCAGTAATGCTTGATCGGTGCAGGAAAAACTGTTGTTTGTGTTGATTTAGTTTTTAAGATATAATTTTTTTTAAATTTCAGCAGATAATGTCGCCTTTTCACTGCTGTTTCAGAATATAAAGTCATTGAATAACAAAACACATGATTCCTATGCTGACCTTTAATATAACATTGGGCATGTTTACCCTATTTAGTGGCTGGAAATATTAAACATTATCAAGCACTGAAAAAGTAGATCACTTTAGTTCATCCAGAGCTGCGTCTGGATGACGGTCAGTATCTTGTACTTCCTCGTACATCTACCAAAGCAGAGAGCGCTGCTGCTGGGGCGCAGGCAGTGACAGACTGGGCTCTGTGCTGGAGGTGAGGGAGGATGACCAACAGTCCTTCTAGAGCTTTAATTAAATATTACTATGTCAATCCACCTCTCACGGTCTGAACGCACCTTTAACAAAAGTTAAAAATAAAGCAAACTTTAGCGATCACATTAATACTCTGACCCGGTTAAGAGTTGGCACTGAAGCTTTCACACCAGAACCGTGTGGGAGACTCATCTCAATCAGGCCGGCTGGTGATTGACTTCAGAAACCGAACCACCTTGCCTGGACATTCAATGTTCAAATTGAAGAAAAAAAAAAAAGTAAAAATGATGGACAGATTTGGAGCAAACGTTACTAAGGTGTTTATACTAGTGTTGCACCGATACAGATACCAGTATCGGACGGGGCCCCGATACTGCCCTAAAATGGTGGTATCGGTATCGGCGAGTACCAACAAATAGGGCACCGATACCATTTTGAGAGCCATAAGTTTATTCAACTATTGTCACCCACTCCTGGTAGGCAAAAAAGCGTTCTACTGGATTCAATTTGTATTAGATTTTTCCTGCTTCACAAAGGTAGGCAGCAGCTCGACAAAGCCATTATGGCAATTATTTTACATTATTATGGTATCTGTATCGGCCGATACTGCACAGCCAGGTATTGGGTATCGGTATCAGGGCCAAAAAATGGCACCGGTGCAACACTAGTTTATACTGTACCTAACTTCTCCTTTGACCAGAAGCTGCCCAGAAGCAGCAGACGATGCAGCAAACTCGGTCATTTTGCCATTTATAAAATGATTTATGCGCTTATTTCTTTAGATTGTAAGTTTGCTTTTCTAAGGTAAAAGTAAAGGTTCCCTTACAAGAAACCTGGTTCCTGAGAATCTCTTGGTATTATATTTATTATGCTATTGACATAGAGATGTGGTCAGTGTAGTTTTACATGACAATTCATATAGAAATTTCACTGAACAGCTTTTATTTTCGCTTTAAACAGTTCGATTAATATTACAACGTATGAATATTGTGATAAATATATAAAATATTAAGACAGAAAGTATCAAGGCACCACATCTATACAGGATCTACTTACCTCAGAGTTTCTCTCTAAAATGTTGCCCCATTACTAATACCGGTAATAATAAAATCGTTTGTTTTAATGTATAAAAATATACAAATTGTACTAAATTCCAATAAGTTGCTCATGCTTGTGTTTAAACTGTAGCATCAACCAA